AAAAAGCCAAGATTTCGCCTAGTCCTGAGTTCCTTAATGGCTCCCAATTCTGTACAAAACACAAGCCAAAAATACACTGAATAACACGATATAGCTAAACAATAGCCAGATCAAACAAATTATCTAAGAAAATACTAAAAAAATATACATACCAAAATACATAACCATTTTGGTATGGTATCAGTCCTAGCTTATTGTTGAGTGCCACCGCCAGGAAGTTTTGTAGGTGTCACCATACTTCTATCTTCATCCCCCCGTAATCTCCAACTGGGATAGGGGGGTCCCTTTGCCCCGCCGGATAGTTTATTCCTGCTGTTTGAAGCTGTAGGTGGTTCCTATCCGCACCCATCCCAATTGAGCTCCTACAATCAGGTCTCTGTAATCCCTCCTTCCCTATAATATCTGAGCATACATGAAGTTCATCAGGAGAACTTCTGGTAGGGTGGCACTTCCAGAGTTGAAGCAGAAGTCAGAGGTGTAGAGGGTGAACAGGAACAGTGACAGTACAGTTCCTTGAGGTGTACCAGTCCTGCTCGTCACCATGTCTACAAAAAAAAATACATACAAATGTCTATAATAATCAAGTCATCAAAACAAATAATTAATAAAACAACCAAAAATAACCTGCTCAGGTCAGTTAGAATGAAACTTATAGTTAGAATTTCCATCTGCTTTTATTTTGAAGGAGGTTGAGTTCCTGTATTGATGCTAGCTTTATTTAATTAGCCCCGCCCGCGATGTGAGAGGTGGTGTATTTATGTATGACGTCATTGCGTAAGTACGTTTGGTTGTGCGCGGGAGCTTTGGTTATCAAACAGTGGAGTTTGAGGGAAACAAGTGAGCAGGAAGGTGAAACCTGAAACCTGCAGCGACATCACAACAATTATTAGCTTTTATAGCTTATGATTAGGATACAAAGGTAAGACATAAGTATGAGTTATAGTTGGACTTGTCTCTTCGCTGTCTTCGATCTTGCAGCGGTCAGCTGGCTCACTAACGCTAACCTCTGGGCTGGAATGCAGCGAACTGATGCGAAAGCGGCGCTAATGCTAATAAGCTAACTTTAAGCTTAAGTAAATGTGTTCAAATGCTAATAGTAATACTGCTAAAACTACTAACGTTATAGAGCGTGAGCTATAACGTTACTGGTTGCTAACCTAACGACTGGGCTTTAATTCTTTTAAAAAATGAGTAAAATGATTAACGTTAGCAAACGTTTTCTGAAATGTGCTAATGTTAGTCTGTTAATGTAACTAGCAGGGAGTTGCTATAAAGTTGTGTATAAAAGCTGAGCCACCGCTCGAAGTGAACCCGTTCTACATACATTGTATCAGTAGTGAAGACAGGGACTTACTGCTGCTCCCTGTCACAGAGCCACTCTGTTCACACACGGACCATGGCTATGAGGAGCGAGGCCAGGGTGCAGGCAGAGGCAGAGGAGGAGGAAAACTTCGGCCCGCAGCCTCTGTGCAGACTGGAGGTATGTACCCTGAACGCAGCCTGTTCCTTATTAAAAACACTTAATTCTACTCCTCAGTAGAAGTAGAAAGCCCCTGTTTCTGTATTTGTTGGGGGTAATACTTGTAAGATACGGTAATTAGAAAAATGGCAGGCAGATGATTGGTCTACCTTTGGTGTTAAAGATCCAAAGCCATTACAGTAACAGTTCGATGAAGCCAGTAGTGTTGTGGGTTCCAGGCAGTAAACAGGGGGACTGCCCTGGCTTCACCCAACTTGAAATGTAACCACTGTCTTTGGTTAAGGATTACGGCAAGACTGATCCTGAATTTCTGCTCCAATGTATTTTGTTCTAATGTGCAGCAATGTGGAATCAGTGCCAGCGACATCAAGAAGCTGGAGGACGCAGGTTTCCACACCATCGAGGCGGTGGCCTACGCGCCCAAGAAGGAGCTGCTCAACATCAAGGGCATCAGTGAGGCCAAAGCGGACAAAGTTCTGGTAGGAAACAGTCCTGATGCAGCGATTAACCTTCCTGTTCTTCCTCTAAGGAAAATGTGATATAGAGATATAATATTGCTAGTGTTTTTATTTTTGTAACACATTCATTTGTTTATTTACAGCTGTCATTTCTGTCACATCTTCTGATTAAGTCTGACAAACATGCAGTTGTAGAATCCAAGTTGTTACTATGATTTTCAGTCATGTTAACATCGTGCTGTGTGCTTTTCAGTAGATGTTTCTCTTTTCTGCTCTCACAGTTATGCCATGACAAATTCAAAGCTGCGTCTCTGTGGTGTACAACAAGAAATACACAGATATTAAAACTTCATTTGATTTCCACTTGGAAGTTTTCAGAATAACAGGGTGTCTTTAGGGTCTTAAAACTTCTAAAATCCAATCATCTAAATTTTAGGCCTTAAAATTTCTTAATTTCTTCAATACGATTTTGACAGCTCCTAAAATTTGATATAAATATATGTATGTTTTATTTTCCAGTCTCTGTTTTAAATGTGTTTTGGAGAAAGAAGTTGCATAACTTTCTATCCTTCATACTTTCAGTATGGATGTAAAGTAGGTCTTAAATTGTCCTCATAATGCTCTTAAAAAGGTATTCAGTCCTAAATTGAACCTGTTGAAACTGCAGAAACCCTGTATGACCCTGTTTGTGAACCTTATTCAGAAGCAGTTCAACTGCTGTTTGGATTTTGTGAAACTGAGAGTCTGAATGATCTTAGTGGTCTGTGGAACAGTTAGTGGTATATATTGGCTGCCTCTTCCTCTAAAGGCTGTAAGTTAAACGTTTAAAAATGTTTTCCAACATCAGCTAATGCTCCTGGGATATGATCTGACCTTACTGAAGACAATGTATCTGAAAGCACTTTACTTCTGTAAGAGAACATGGCGGATTCTGTTTTTAAGGCAGCCTTGTCTTTATTTATTTCCTTTCATTTGTTCTTCCCTCTCAGGCTGAAGCTGCCAAACTCGTGCCCATGGGTTTCACCACGGCTACCGAGTTCCACCAGAGGAGAGCAGAGATCATCCAGGTCTCTACAGGCTCCAAGGAGCTCGACAAACTCCTGCAGGGTTCGTAACATCTTGTCTTGTTCCTCACCCAGAAATTACGTTATTTTGTTAAAAACAAAAAGGTTATATTTACCTTTTGTAAGGTTACTTACTGCAGCTTTAAATGGTGGCCACCATCCACCATAGACCAGGCCAACCAGTGATCCAAGGTCCTGTTCTCTGATGGCCGAGCCCCAGTGAACTGAAGTGATCCAGATTGTGATCTGACCTGCGCTTTCTCCTGCAGGTGGCATTGAGACCGGCTCCATCACAGAGATGTTTGGAGAGTTTCGGACAGGGAAAACCCAGCTGTGCCACACTCTGGCTGTCACCTGTCAGGTAGAGTCCAGACTGAGCGGTTGTACAATGTAATATGATCCTCTGTTTGTAGTTCACACTGTTGTCTTGATAAAATCCATCAGGTTTAGGTCATAAGCACCTGTAACAATCTAGAAACAGACAGGAAGTAACATTTCATCTCCTTGTATACAGAGTAAAGTTCCATATTGTTAATAATTACATGATGGAGATTCTAAACAGCAGGGTTTGACTCGTAGCCGACCCCTGTGCCAGATGTTTCATTTATTTAAGTGCACTTTTTGTTGACAGGTTAGAGTCCATTTTATTTATTATTTTGGTTGTGTGGTTTTATTGATCTTTTATTTATCAAGGATATTTTAATATGTTTTTACATTCCAATGTCTGAATATGTTTTAGAATTAAAAGTTCATTGCTCTTAAATGACAATAATACTATTTATTGCAATTATTTCTGGGAAATGTATTGTTTAACAAACACAGTTCCAGTACAGCCCTAGTTCTGGGTAGTAGTGAGCGCTGGACATTTTAAAATAATAACTTTATTTATATGGAACCTTTTAAAAAATATTATATATAATATATAATTTATAAAGTGCTTTGACAGACCAAAGCAAAATGATCACACAGGATCTGGGTCATGTGACTGGTTTACTACACTCAGTGGCTTTCTATGTTCACAGCTGCCCATCGATCAGGGGGGCGGAGAAGGTAAAGCCATGTACATCGACACAGAGGGAACCTTCAGACCAGAGAGACTCCTCGCGGTTGCTGAGAGGTGAGTCGGCACGTTTTCTTAATGGTACTTTAATTATTTATGTGATTATTTAAACACTTTTCTGTTCCTGTTTTCAGTTCTTGTTTGTCCCCTCCCCTCCTAACGTGGAACAAGTAGCCTAATCAACTTAAAAACTTGTTTGCGCTACCATTTATTAAGTAAGTGGTAATTGCATTCATTTGTTTTGTTGAGCCAAAACATTGGTTGTGTGCCAGGCCGTCATTGTAAATAAGAAAACGTTGTCAAGGTCTTACCTGGTAAGATAAAGGTAAAATAAATAAATAAAACACAGAGCCACATTCTGTATGGCTGGAACATGTTTGTAGGAAACTGTTCTCTGAATGGAAAATGTATATGAAAATGAAAATCTCCCAGGTAATGCAGTAGTAAAGTAAAGGCAGATTGGAACTTGGTATGATGTACAAACTATGCCCCAGTGTTGGCTGTGTCATAGATGGTCCTCCTGTCTCTATGTACAAGTGGGAAACTTGATGTGACCTCTCTCTGCTGTCAGGTACGGGCTGGTAGGCAGTGATGTTCTGGACAATGTGGCGTACGCCCGAGCCTTCAACACGGACCATCAGACCCAGCTGCTGTACCAAGCCTCTGCCATGATGGCTGAGTCCAGGTTAGTCACGTACTAACCTGTCCTCCTGATCTGGTTCTGCCAAGTTGGACTACATCTCACACAGTTGATCTTAACCCACCTTTATCCCTGAATGCAGAGCTGTAGCTGGGCAGTGAGCACAAATGATGGTGTTCTGGCAGGTTTCACACCTGGAAACACCTGGAAATTTACAGACTAGTTTTCCAGTCATGGAAACACCTGGAAATGGGTTTCAATGACCGAATATCCTAGAAATCTGTTATCCTGTAAAATACCTACATCAACCATAGGTGCATGTGTAGTGTTAGGCTTCAAAGGACGAAGAAGCTGAACGGAAGAACATTTTAACGCTCTATTTTCATTTTGGCCATGTCGGTCAATGCAGAACCGACTTCCAATGATCTTTTCACCGTCGTTCTGAACCTGACACACTTCATCATTAAAAAAAAAGTCAACACTAGGTCTACTGGTAAATGATATGATGGAAAATGATTTCTTAAAAGTAGTGTGAACCCTGTCTAGAAACAAATCCACAGAGCTGTAAAGCTTCTGTTGCTGTACAAGCAGCAACGTCTGAGTGATTGAGTGATGTACACGTAGTACAAACAGGGGCTCCCATCGTCACTGTATCAAAAACCATTCCTCATTCTTCATAAGTGTGTTGAGGTCGCCTCAGTGGGCTGTTGAGACAGACTGATCAGGGCAGAGTCTTTGTTTTTTCACACTGAAACCAACTGGTTTCATCTGGAACTGTGGGGAGAAGAGCTGTACAATTTTGTGGAACTCATGCAGCGTTACTATGGCACATATCAACATATGTTTAAATGCATTTTCTATACTTTTTCCAGAGAGTAAAGGTCATTGTACAAGAGTTAACATACAATAGAAAAATAAACACAATATAAATCAAACGGGCAGCACTTTCTAATCACAGCAACAGCAGAAATGTATGTGCTTATTTCTCTGCTTTTTCAAATAAATCCTTAAATCACCAATAAAGCTTTTCGAAACAACAGCGTGAGCCACTATACTTTCCCATGTGTCCCTGTATCAGCAAGATGATTGGTTCAATGACAGCACTTTCCAAGCTGTAGTGTGTATACCTGCAGCTAACACACACACTCTCTCTCACTCTGTGTGTCAGGTACGCTCTGCTGATAGTGGACAGTGCCACGGCCCTGTACAGAACAGACTACTCTGGCAGAGGCGAGCTGTCGGCCAGACAGGGACACCTGGGACGCTTCCTCCGCATGCTGCTGCGGCTGGCAGACGAGGTAGGCAGCTGGAACAGGTGCAGTGTGAGACATCACACATGTAGATAATGTGAAGATCTATTCACTCTGAATGTAGTGCTGCATGTTAACCCAGGGGTTCAAACTGAGTTCTGTTGTCTGTCTCAATCCTATGCACCAACAGTTTGGCGTTGCCGTAGTGATAACCAACCAGGTGGTAGCACAGGTGGATGGGGCTGCCATGTTTTCTGCAGATCCCAAGAAACCAATTGGAGGCAACATTATGGCCCACGCCTCCACCACACGGTGAGGGACTCTATTACTGCTCCTACGCGGGACAGAGGCGTTATGTTTTTGGATCTTTGCTCAAACATGTTTTTCGTCTATTCTTTTGAATGCAATACGAACATCTCAAGGGAATTTCTTCAAATATTGCTCAAGCGTCCAGTTGGACTTGAGGATAAACTGATTAGATTTTGGAGGTCAGAGGTCACTGTCACATATAAAAGAAATTGGCCATAACTCAAGAATTGATGTGGTCATTATACTAAAACAGGTGCTTAATGAGATACAGTGGTGAAGTGATGTTTTAGCCCAATGGTCAACTTCACTGTGACATAATGTGCTTTTTGTCCTTTGACCTTCAGTCTGTACCTGAGGAAAGGCAGAGGAGAGACGAGGATCTGTAAAATCTACGACTCGCCCTGCCTGCCGGAGGCCGAAGCCATGTTTGCCATTAACGCCGATGGAGTGGGTGACGCCAAGGACTAAGACAACTGTGTTGTGTTTGTGTGGTCTTGACCCATACTACTGCCCTCACACAAAGCCTCAGACTGATGGGGGATAAAGAGTCAAAGGTCCCGGGTTGTGTGATTTGGTTTGATGCTGATTGAGACAGAGTGGATAAGATGGTCCAAGCTGGAGCTCAGTGGTGCAACAGCAAGATGGAACGTTTAGTTTTCTGCAGACGGAGTGCTCATTCATACTGACGCACATTGCACTGAACAGAGGAAAGTTGTGACATAGTATCTCATACTTACAATACCTGTTCTGTTATGAGACGCTACTTCATAGTTATTTTTTGTAATTATAACTTCTCATCATACTGAGATCACAAATCACATCAAGATCCAAAATATGACAATTTACACTTAAGTCCCGCCCCTTTTTGCTCTGTGCTCCAATAAGAGTTGAGCAAGCCTCGGTCAACTTCTCCTTTCCTGCACTTAGATATGCTATGTGCTAGGCTAATCTACTGCATTTTGAAGATGGTTAAAAGATAAGTGGCACAGTGGCTTATTAGTTAGCTAATCTACATCAATGGTTAGATACTAACTTGCCAGCTAACTAGAAAGCCAACAGTTGACGTAGATTAGCAAGGTAGTTAGCTAGTGTTTTGCTAACTTGGGATGTGACTATATATAAAATAGAATAAAAGTGACATATATATATATAACATTCTTCAAAAAGTGGCTGTCTTTTCAACATAGATTAGCCTAGCACATAGCATATGTAAGAACAGGAAAGGAGGAAGCTGACCGAGGTTCCAAAAAGGATGGGACTTAGGAAGGGTGAGTCATGAAAAAATCTCTCTCATAACTTAAAATAAAAAAGTCGTCATAGCAACTTCTTAATGGCATCATTAGATCTTTACTGCATGATTACAAAAAACCCCAGAAAAACTAAGGATCTCATAATTCAGATGCTAACTCATATTTAGAGATTGGGTCTCCATCTTTTTTCTTTGTTGAATACAATGTGCTTCTGTAGTTTCAAAGCAAAAAAATTATTTAGTAAAAACAGTTTGTGAGAGTGAAATGTTTTGTGAGAATGTGGTTGAAATGCAACTACAAAGCCATATTTTTTATACCATAGTTTCTCAGATTACTAGAAAGCAATGTTTTCCTCTGTTGCCATCTACAGTACTATTGGTATGTCTCTTTTCTCTTTGTGTTTTCCAGAACCTTCTGTATATAGGCTTCATAGCTAAATAAAAAATTGTTTTACCATTAAATTGACATTGTCATCATGGAAGAAACATTACTTAGGAAGGGTAGGGTTTGGTTGTTAAAAACATTCAACCACAAATTTGCATATAAATACAAAAAAAGATTTTTATTCAGTTATCCATGTGTCAGTTTACAACAGCAGTGACTGCAAAATAAGAATAAAGGAATAGAAAGTGTCGTTAGATCACAAAGTAATAACCTGCTGACATCCTGCAGCTTTACTCTCACTCCCAGAAAATAGCAGGAATGTAAACACACACAGTCCAAAGCCAGCAAATCCCCTCTGAGGACAATCCAGGTCCAAAACACAGGGATACTTTGCAGTCCCAACCCAACAGAAGGCTCCATGCGCTGTCCTTTACTTCAGTGGTTGCAGAGGTTCCAAGTGCATGTGGTTCAGTGCAGTTGCTTTATTGTACACTGTCCGGGGGGGGGGNNGGGGGGGGGGGGGGTCATTGAGTGAAAAAATTAGGACTAATTCTGATTACTACAATCTTACCACACTACATCTACATGGTCATTTATCTCCACAAAACAAGAGCAACCCAGCAGAACAGTATGAGTAAAGGGTGTACAACACAAACAAGAACTAATAACTAACATTAGATAGCTGTTTTTGTTGAAGTGATTTCCAAAGTCATGTTTTACCTAAAGCTTTTCCCATCCCTGATGGCACCAGACTACCAGCTCCGTTTCCATTTTTAGTTAGTGGATAATTGGTCAGTGTCAGTTGCATTGCTAATTAATTTTCAGACGTGTTCCACTACCACTTTAAACTGTAATCATTCTCAAACGTAGCATATCGACTGCGTGGAAGCAGCTGTTAATCCTTATTGGTCCTCATATTGGAACCTCAGATCTAAACTAAAAAAAAGGTTGAACCACCCAAATAACATATCCAGTATCTAGCCATGTACATATCTGTCTCTTGACTAGATACAGCGAGAGGGAAGTGTGTGTGTTTTGTAATTTGGGTGAATCCTGATCCTGAAACTCTTAAATAAGATGATTGTACTTAAAAGCAAAACCTAGTTGTGTTTAATCAGATAAAAGACAAACCAATAGTTAAAAAACATTAAAGATACCATATATAATTCAATACATATTACTCATACTGACAAGCCATATTAAAGTTTGCAGAAAATAAATAAACATCAATGAACTCCAGATCATTTCACAGTGACAATATGACAAAGATATCCACCAATAAAGGGAGATGAGCGCGCAGTTTGTTGGGCACATCTGATCGAATGAGCGCGGATTGGCGGCGTGACTAGCAAATCGGTGTGGAGTGGCGCCATCTGCTGGATCTCAGTAGGGAAAACAACTGTTCAGATTTTTTTGTCAGTTAAGACTTGAAGCTGAGCCTGCAGTTTAGAGGTTTCTTCATCCTTCAAAATGAAGAAAAGGCAACAAAGAAAAGTGTTACGTGCACTTCAAGAGTAGACATTTTAGTTTCAATCCCCCCCACTACCACCACCACCACACTGGTCTCAAGTCTGTAAATTCTTATGTGGCTCGTTTGCTCTCACTGTAATGTGCAGCTCTAAGCTCTGTACTCAACTGTTAATACTTGACATTTTTTGGTGAGTTCAAACAGGGTGAGTGTGTGCTCTTACATTGTTAGTGTTTGAGGGCATCTTCAGAGCCAGCTCAGTCCAGTTCGTGGCCTCAGAGATGTTTCCCAGGTCCTTGTGACACTACAAGTCAAACAACGTAATGGTTTACAGTCCGCACAATCACAACATCCTGAGAACACCTGGGCATGTTGCCTTTAAGCCAGTGGTTCTGGTTATTTAAATATTAAATGTGGGATCAGTGGGTGTGATGGCGTACCTTTGCGATGTAAAGCCTCACTGTCTTGGAAAAGCCAGGACTGAGCTCCTCTGCCTGAAGTTCATGCAGGACAAAGATTTCACATGAGAAACACTGCGTGTCCACACAGAGAATCAACGCAAAATCGAAGGTCTGATGAAGGTGAAGACCCTCGGAACGCCAGACCAAGTTCGTCACTATTCATTTTCCTCAGAGCATTGTGGGTAATGGGTGTCTGAGTTAACATGTTTTCAGACAAATACCATGCTATCACAGTGTTCCTGGTTTGATTCCAGACAGACATCCTTACATTTTCTGTCTCTCTACTTTCATGCTATCAATAAAGGCAAAAATACCATCAAAATACTAAATTATTTATTCATAATAATAGTATTTCATGGGCGCCTTGCTGCAGCGGCCCAGGGTTCGAATCCGACCTGCGGCCCTTGCTGCCCTTTCATGTCTATCATCAGCTGTCACTGTAATAAAGGCAATAAAAGCCCCCAAAAATATACAAAAAAAAAAAAATAGTATTTCGTATTAAAATGTGAACGTTTTTTTGATCCCACAAAAAAGCGTTATGGGACAGCAAGTGACAGGGGACTGACCACCGGCACTGTTTTAACCGGAATTTAAAAGCCTGCCCAGGGCTGCAAATTAGCTTCAGCTAACATCTGTTGCATTCCTCCTCCTTACGTAACAATGTTTATCTGTAAACCCCCCTGTGAAATAAACAAGCAAATAAATGGGAGGAATCCAAAATAAAAATTCAATTGAAGGTAAAATATGCCTGGAAACTTTCTAGTGATTTGCCAAAAAACTGGCAAAGACAATGTGATGTCTGTAGACCGGCTATGGATGAATGTCTACAGAGCGCTGCACTGCTGTATTCTTGTAGTCCAACCTGGTTAAGTTAACATCCGTCTGGCTCCTTCAACAAAAAGCCAATGGGATTGTTCCAGTGGTTTTTGGATTTTTGCTCTGTGGTGATCAAAGGTTTATGATACATTTTGTTCAGCACGATAACACACATTGAACACCACTTTTTTGAAGCAAAAATTCCCAGAGGTAAAAAGATAACGGTAGGCTATAAACCAACTACACCACGGTCACATGACTTCAACGTCACCACCACTAAACTTCCAAGGAGTATAAACACAATGAGGCTGTAAAGGCAGACTAGTGAGTAAATACAGACAGACTCTAAAAAAGCTCTATATACATTCATAGTGTCACACAGACAGCGAGCTACCAGCTAGGTATTTATAGTCCCAACTTCACACCCAGAAACGTCCCAAACACATCAAAATAAGAAAATATATAAAGACACAGTCACACACTTCCAGTGGCTTACAAGTGATGACTGAGAGGAATTATGTTTGTTTGAGTTTCTGCATTGTTCTTTTTTTTAGGTAAGTCCTGCATACAATGCCTTTCACATGCACAATTACAGTGAATCAGCAGGAATTCTCTACAGTAGGCCGGTACCTTGAGGAAGTTCTCGAGGGCGTCAAGCAATGTGGAGGTGGGGGGGTTCTGGTAGAGGGCAGCAGCCGCCTTCCTTTCCAGCCAGTCCAGAGTGGCTACCTGCAGAGACACAGACACACTACTGTCACAAAAACTGCAAACTCCCTGGGGCGGTCTTGAATGAAGTACTTAAGAGTGTCCACAGTATTGATATTTGTTTGGATGAGGACGTTTGCAACCGTCTTACCTCGTAGCACCACCTGCCGAGCAAGTAGTAACACATGGGGTCATCGTCTCTGAGGGCCAGTGCACAGTCCAAATGCTCCTGTGGAGAAATACACTCATATGTCGTATGCTGTACACAACTCTAAATAATAAAATAAATGTTGGCTAAATACGAAAAATGTGGACATACACTAGTTGTGCCTGTGTTACCTTTAATATGTGGCTGCTCTTCAGTTTGCTATGCATGCTCTCATGCTGGGAGGTCAGTCCTGTCAGCACAGCAAACCTGGAGACAAAAACAGTGTGTCATCAACATAAAGCCAAATATAAGCTGTAGTTCAGTGTTTGTGGTGTTCATATTACCATTTGTGACACTCAGCATTCAGGCCGTTCTTCTTCAGGGCCAGCTCTGCTTCCTCCCGACCTGTAACACCAGCTCACAGTTCAGTGACAAAAACTCAGTTTGGAGGTGAAAGTCCTCTTTTATTGTCCAACATTTTCTGGTGCTCATGAGTGAGGCAGGAGCTTTCAGTCAGTCTGCTTCTGTTTTTGTTCGCTATATTCCAAACTCCGTAAACCTTTTTTCCTCCTTGTCATTTTAGTGTCTTTAATTAGTTCACTCACATTTGTGTTATGTTGATATAATGCTCTGTTTGAGATAAAGAGTTACTATAATCATTCTATCACTGTGTGTTAGTGTCCATTACCTTGCTGTGCGTAGGTTTTCTTCTCTTGCTTGTCCTCGGTGGACTCATACATATCGCTGTAAGCCCGAGCCAGTCGCCATAGAAACTCCCTGCTGTCTCCATACTGCAGGCACAGAATCAGAAAAACACCAGTCAGTGTTCAGAGTAATTCATCTTCCTGTAATCAGATTACTTTCACCATGAAACTAATGTTGGAGGTGAGATTACTGGTTACTGACAATGATAGTGCTGTCAGCAGAAACATGCAGGATGCTGGATGAAGCATTGTGCACCGCACTGCATTATGGACTTACTAACTTGGTACCTAATAGGAAAAGAGCTGAATACAAAGACTTTCATAACTTCAAATTAAGTGTAAATATGTGTGTATCAAGCATGTATGCTTTCCTTTGTTGTATGCTATATGAAGTGCTATGTAAATAACTGTATTGCATTATTGTTATTTGTATCAGTAGTAGTTAAAGTACTAGTTTACATCACGTGAGCAGTGAGTGTGTCCCTTACCTCTGCTCTGTTGTCCAGCAGCAGGCGGAAGCCTTCTGCCTTTAAACTGGCGTCTCCTGTGTGGAGGATGTCACTCTGAGCCAGGAGGAGAGCCAGCTCCCCACTGGGGAATTCAGTCACCAGCTGCAGCCTCCCCTCATCTTCCTCCTCCTCATCCTCATCCTCCTCCTCTAGCCCCCTCTCCTCCTCCTCCTGGGAGTCTTCCTGGCGGAGGGTGAGGACAGTGGCACAGCTCTTGTCCTCCTCTTCCTCAGACTCCTCTTCAGGTTCCCGCTCGCCCTCCTCTCTGTCCGTGTCCCGATCCGTGTAGTCTGACTCAGCGTAGGCCGTCGAGTACCTGGGATACACATAGAGATCATCGCTTTTTTATTTGCTGATTTTAAATGATTGGAAATGATGTAACCATATTAGAAATTCACATTCTATTGATTCATGATGACTTCTGCTTTAGTTTTCGATATATTTAAAATATAAAGAAAATATATTTCCCTCTCTGTCCTCTCTCTATGCAGATAGTTTTGCTATCAGTAGCTTACAGTATCTGTCTTATGGTGTGTTCACACAGAAAGCAAATCAAATGTTTTGCATGAGTAGATTACATACAAAGTCAATGCAAAGACACAAATGCTGAAAATATGTGTCTGTTACTGGATTCCAGGCCTGTTTTACTTTACAGTGAAATAAGTTAGCATTGCAAGTATAAATTCAGACTTTTTACAAATCGCCATCATGATGAAGTTATTTCAGCATCATTTTGAACAGTTAAATGTTAAATCCCAGTATATTTCGGACTCATACGACCATAGTATACAAGATTAAAGGACAAATGATCCAGTGAGTAAACTCACAATAAAAGTAAAAATTCACTCACAGCATTGAAAAATTACATTTTAATTTAATTAAGGACACAAGCTGGGGTCTAATTTTAGTGTCAGTATCAAAACCTGGACAAGTAGGGTTAATAATTACTGGAATGGCTAGATATCACAAAAGGTAAGGTAATAAATTATGCTTTACACTCTCCTGGCACCTGATAAGGCTTCAAACTCATGTATCGGTTACTCCAACCAGCCTTCCTGGATTGTGTTTCATCGTCTTCCCAGTACCTGAAACATGCCTACACCAACACAGTCCCTTGCATTTTTTTAGCACAGTGCAATTTTTGTTCTAAACACCCAGTAGGAATAAATGTCAGTCAGCCACTTAGAATTATCCCCACATGGCACTAGTTAACTGTCTGTAACTGTCTTAGAGATTAACACGAATTAGCTGATGAAGCCTATTATAACTGCCCAGTTGTATTAAACCTGGATCTCTACCTGACCTGGTCCTGCACAATGTTAGATCACTACTGGACTCATCCAGTGGTAGGTGAATTTCATATTTATGCCCTTTTAAAGCTGCACTGATCAATATTTTTAAAGTGGCAATAGATCAAATGACAATGAAACAGAGCAACAATTCACAACCGCAGCTTTAAAAAATGAAACTGCTCATCAATCACGTACATTATGTAGAGATGGGACCACCAGAAACACAATATAAACACTATGCACATACACATACAACATATCAGACATAACAAGCAAGCGTACTGCTTTTTAACAGAACAAGACATACCCTCCTTCGCTGGTCTCTTCATACGTGCTGGCCATGCCCTGGCTGGCAGTAAAGTAGATGGAGCTGGAGCTATTGGAGTCCGTGCGCTCCCTGTGGGCAACGGGGCGCCGTCGACGCACCCGCTGACTGTCCTCCACTCCCTTTCTGGAGGAGGAACACAAACTAAACAAACAACACCAGCAATCTTCATGTGGGGATACAGATATCTGTTTTTTTTCCCCACAAAACACATTAAATAGGAACATAACCTTTTGAGGCTAAGTGTTCCCTTCAAAATCAATAACACGACTGCGGACTACGCCTTGGGTCCACAGGGGGTGCCAGAATCAACACAAAATGAAAGTTCCTTGTAGGGGCTTTAATCAGAATCAGAATCAGAAATACTTTAATAATCCCAGGGCTCCAGGTATACAAACAACATATAAACGTAACAGGCAGCATGCAGCTTCCGCGCATGCGCACATGATGTGATTTAAAGATATATTATGCCTATATTGATTGACATACTCTAATACAAAGAATAACACATTTCCCAGTAATTGAACCTAATACATTTTGAGTCCCTGGAAATCACAGGATCAGGGTAACACTGCAGATTTCCACAGTGTTTGTTCACTCAATATGATTCCGTTGTAATGGCCATCCCAAAAATGACTATCTGGTATCATTCAGTAGGGCAGCTGCTGTACAGCTCACCACACTCTCACTCACTTGACATCCTGGATGATCTGCAGGGCGATGTCCTGCAGGCCGCCCCTCAGCTCGGCCACCTCTGATCGCAGCGAGGACACGCAGTTCAGCACCTGGTCCAGCTGGTTCCTGAGCTCCAGCTGCTGCTCTGGGGACAGGCCCTGAACCACCGTCTCCACCGCTGCCAGAGCCTGCTGCTGGGCCTCCGCCTCTGGAGGAGACAGGGAGACAGAACACATGGGTTTGGACTTGTTTGCAGTTTAGTCAATCTTCTTTGGTCCCCTTAAAGTGTAGTCCAATCCCTAACATTTCTTCCACTCTCCAGACATTTGTCTATGTCCCCCTGCTTATCCAGGTCGCTGTGGCAGCTGTGTTCGAAAGGTAGCCCAAACCTTCTCCCTACCTACCCTACACAGCTCCTTCAACTTGCAATGCTTGGTAAGGTCATGACCCCAGGCCCTTTTCTTATTATTCTATACAAGTATGCCAAATTTGTCTCAAGCCTCAAAAAAAACAAAATCAAACCAAATCCAGGGATTGTGATATGAAATGTCCTGATATTTACCAGTTAAATGCAATCTAATCTAACTCAAACAGTGTACATATGGAACACACAAACTCTGTTTACTAGTATTTTCTTGTATTCATCTACTTATTGCATTGTTTTTACTGAATAATATTTGTATGAGATGTATTCTTAATGACTTGTATTTTTTTCCTTTCTTTTTAAAAATTGTGTATTGTTGTTTTCAAATTATTAACGCTTTGACAATCATGGTTTCTACCATTCATGCCATTCAAACATATTATATTGAAACTGATTACTATCAGCTGTGGTTGGACCTAACTGCAATGCATTTACCTCTGCATTGTAACTGACAAGTTTCTTAAAACCCAGGAAAAAGTACATTTGATAGAGGGAAGGGAACCAAGCATCTCTGTCTCACACACACTCTCTCTGTCTCTGTCTCTGTCTCTCACACACACACACACACACACATCTCTCCAACAGGCTGCTGACAGTGCCAGGCAGAGCAGAGCAGACCCACCCTGTGCATCCAGCGTGTCCCGCAGCAGCGTTGCTCCGTCCGCCCCGTCAAACAGCCGGGGAGCTGGCCGGGCCTCCAGCGCCACTCTCTGGCTTTTTCTCCGGCTGATCTCTCTGTAAATTATGAAGGCAATCAAGCCCAAACCGGCCGTAGCTCCGACAGCAAGCCCGATTAACCCGTTCCTTCCGAGCGGTGCGTTCATTTCTCCACACTCCGCACACGCAGGTCGTTTATTATAAACGTTACTTGTTACGTTACTTAGAAATGCCACTTTCACACGTCAGCCGCCATGGCTGCCCGTATCTGAGGATGACAACACGACCCGAGCCTCTTCACGTAAATACTCTCCGTTCTCAAATAACACGGGGTTCGCTCACTGCTAGCACATTAGCCTAACGTCATTAGCCTGTCGCTGTTACAGCGTTGACTGGCTAATAACAGTGACGACTTTTAAAGCTAAAAGCTTGATACAAATGTTAAAAATGTTCTCTCAGAACACCTAGCGGTATATATTTCACCGACACTCAAAACGGGTCCGTTTACTTGATATGAATAAGTGAAAGTGATAGTAGGCTAGCAACAATGATGCTATGAAATATATAACGCAACACTACATCAGCACCACCTATGTGAACGAGGCTAGCGCGTGGGGACACAACTTCCGGTTTCAGTTTACAAAATAAAAGGTGAGAGCTGGTATGGAAACCCATTTCCGGCAAGTATATAAAATATATATACCGTTACAAAAAGTTAGGCATTATAACAATAAAGGTACTAATGAATGTCTGAATTAGGAAATACTCAGTCACAAATAATATGCCAAATGTATAAGAGCAAGTCAAAAATCTGATTTACTAAATCCAAGGTAGGTGCATTTATTATGATATACTAAATCAAAATTATGAGTTACTAAATAAAAAAAATACATTCCAAGTCAAGTGTATGTATTATGAAATATTGAATCACAATAACAAGATAGTATGTAAAAGTTTTAACAATTTTTGACAGGCCCCAAATGCTCCAGGTTATCTGTGTTCAAACAGCTCTTAAAATGGCTGCCACTTCCTAAACTACAAAGACTATTTGAATGCAGTCCCTTTCTTATGAAGTTGCAAAATCGTGCTTTTATACCTTTAATGTTGCTGTTGATATTATGCTTACATGGTGCATGTTCTTGGTATATTCATGGGGCAGCACAACCCTCTCTGCAATGGAATACGCTTGCATGTAAAGAGGAACATTTTATGAAGGTCAGTAACCAGTTATCTTCTTTTTCTATCACAGTGTCTAAAAGGTTAATTTCATTGAGTCAGAATGCACAAGTTAATGTATTGTCAGTCTACAGAAGAAAAATAACTCACAGCTATCTAAATATTAAATACACTTGTCAGTAACTACTACACAATCAATCAAGTGCTCTTTTCATGTGAAAATTATCATTGGGGGGATTGGGGGAAATCTGTTGACCTCACTCATCCTGTGCTTTCCTATAATGCCACCCTCACAAATACACCCAATACACTCTTTTCCTCCTTTCTTTTGGTGATTTTTCATATTTGTATTCATTCATATTATGAGATTAAGTTATTAAGTTACAAATAAGGAAACATGCTATGAGGGCTCCCATAATGCATGGGAGTGGCCTGGAACCTGTGCTAAGCCACATTTCCCCTGTGAACCTGACCCAGATATGCAAGATAGACAATGGATGAAACTCTGTCTGTTTCTTTTTGCTGCGGCAAAAGTGTGCCAAGAATGTGTCCGTGCGAAAGAACAATGTCATTCATGAAGAGGTGAAGTCAGCACTTGCAGGGAGGAAATAGAGATGGTACAAAAAGTCAAGATGTGCTAGACTCGCTTTGTGGACTTAAACTGTGCTTAAGTTCTAATCCTGCCAGAAAAATGTATCCAGTAGATGTTCTGACAAATAAATGGGATTTTTCTGTTTTTCAAATCCCATAACTTCTAATGCAGTGTTAAATATGCTATGAAAGACAGAGGACAGAGAGTTCTTGATGGGCAACCCAGAAGTTAGCTCATGTGTAAAACACTGAGAATGGAAGAACTTGGGGGACCTTGGGTGAGAGAAAGATTTAGGAACATAGGCTTATATTACTTTCAGTCCCTAGCCAGGGTCTAACTCACAAAATACTGGATCTTAGTTTCTTATTTAGATCTTATTTTTGGGACTATATTTGGGTGGGGACTTGCTTTTGGGGGGCCAGGGACCACCTATGACCACAGCACTTTAAAGCCCTGGCTACGGCCCGGTAAGACCTCATGAGAGACTGGGGCCAGGACGGGTCCTGGTCCACATCTGCTGTCCATCCTCCTCCGTGTTTTCTCCGCCCTCTCTAGTTTATAAATGAGCCTAACAACATCCAGCCAGCCAGCGGGGATAGCTCATACAGGCGCACTACTTAACGGACGCAACATGGCGGAGAACGGCAGCGAACAGCCGCGGTCCACCCGGTCCACCCGGTCGTGTTCTCCAGCACCGCAGTAGAAGTGTCCTCTGTTAGCTCGGTCTCTGGGTCCACAGTGAAGGGACAGTTTGCTTTGTCTCTACAAGAGGCAACAGTGGAAATGAGCCGCGCGTGAGGAATTCGAGATGAGCCGACACGCGACAGGTAAGAGACAAGTGCAACAGTGCACGCGACCAGCTTCTTCACCCACAGCGGCTGATTAATGTCGGTAAAATGTGTGTTCCATCAACTTATTGCAACAAACGTACAGTTTCGTGGCGTCTTCATCACTTTACAGGCTGCTGCTCATCAGACAACTTTTTCTAAGGCGGGGAGGAATTTGCTGGACCGGTTCCTCCAGCGGTCATATAACAAGGAGTGTTGGAAATTCTTGTCGGGCGTGTTTTCAATAAAAATAATAATTTCCCAAAAACCTTTCAGACGTCCAGGAGCCGCTGCAGGACTGTGCCCCCTCCCCGCCGCTGCCTGCTGATCATGTGCTCGACTCTGGAGCTGTGCTGTTCCCTGGTAGCTATGAACCCGCACTGCTCTAACTCTTATACATGCTTTTTTATATGTACAGCACAGTTAATGTGGCATTCATTGGCAAGCTTAGTCAGGAATGGGAAGTTATCTTAACACTTAAGAGGTATTGTATTGCAGTGACAGTGGCTGTCACATTGACTATAACAGGGGCGGATCTAGATTAGTACTCATGAGGTGCCCAGAGGGTGACATGGAGACTTTAAAGCTGCAATAGGTAACTTTTTACAAGTAAGGGTTAGGGTTTATGACAAAATAATTTTTATGTAACTACAGCTTTAAGCGCTGACAGAAATATATGCTGACTTAACAATCACATATATCAATATTTCCTTGGAAAAGCCCCCAAATGAAGATATTTCATTAATTATAATTATGTGGCACAGTAAATATCTTAACGTGGCATTAGAAATCAATGAATTGTTTTCTTCATGCCATCACTTAATCATTATTCCATGAATGTCTGCATTTAAACACATTTTTGAAAATGACTCTTAATGTGTTAAATTTGACAGCATCTGACACCAAACCGGGGTGCTCAAGCATTTTTTAGTTCTGCCCCTGGACAATAATCACATCATTTTTTTTAATGTTATACTCTCAAGAGTTAAATGAATTGAATTAAATGCCAGTTCATGTGCTTGACTTAAATATCCTCAACTTTATTATTTTGCTGGGAACCCTCTACATATTTGTTATCTGTCTGTACAGGTGCTTTTGATCAACATGGCTGCCCTTTGATCATGTTCCCAGTGGAAGGACAAGCCAAACTCTCCTCAGAACTCAGCAAAGCAGAAGTGGTGGACTTCATAAATTACTTTTTGTGTCTGCACAAGTACGTGGAGTAAGACAGGCTTATTTTGTCTGTGTGTGTCTGTGTGTGTTGTGGGTGTGGTGTGTGTGTGTGTGTGTGAGTAGAAGACGTACTGATGGTTGGATTGGTCTCTCTACAGTAAGAAGCAGGACAAGGAGAGTTTGGTGTCAGTGGTGGCTGATCTGAGGCATGCCTCGCTTCCTACAACCAGGTTCATCGCTGAGACTCTGCTTCTGCTTGAGGTATTGTCATGTTGATGCTGGCCTTTAACGTGTCTCGTGTGATTGTTCTGAAACTAGCAATCTGACACACCACATGCAGAAAGAGACACCTAGATTTCCGCAGTAACCGGTCAAAGAATGGATGGTCCATCCATGGTCAGGCTATTAATCACGAGTCAAGGCAGATGACCACCCACGTTTTCTGCCCGTTAAAAGTGCGAGTTTTGTCCTTGCCCCCGTCGCCAAGGTTCTTTGCTCATGGTGGGTACTGTTGGGTTCCCTCTGTAGAATGTTAGAAAGGAGTTCGTTCCAGGCTCTGCTCGTATTTGAAAAGTGTTCCTGAGATAACTTGTGTTATGAATTGGCGCTATACAAATAAAATTGAATTGAAAATTGAGTACTGTATACTGGACTCCCAGAAACAAGTTAATAAAACCAATGCATTTAGCCTTTTTTTTTTTGCTCTTTTTCTTGTTTGTTTTCAGAATAGGGCTACCTCCTAATAGTCAACTTAATCGTTAGCCACTGAGAAGGTTCTTAGTCAATGCACTTTTCATTAGTTTGATCAGACTCCATTTGGGAGCTGCGTCCTGTGACCAAAGTATCAGGGGATTGTTGCGACACAGACCCCAGGAACTGCAGTGCTATTGCATATGCTAACTGCTGCCACTAGCTCTGTTTATAATGAAACTGTGGTGGGACAAATGGAGTGTGGCGGACCGGAGTAATTACTGGGAAACACTGGATGCCATTAAATCATACACACTGGTCCTCAAAAAAAATCAGCTTTTATGACGAAGGAACTGCATTCAACACATTTGAATGAATTTAAACATAACTTATTTCTTTACAAGAAAACTCTACAGGGCCCCCTTTTAACTTTAGTTAACCTTAATCCTTGAAAAATGAAAACACACTAGTTCCCCCTACAAAATTATTTTATTACTTTGATTTGGTTTTATCTGCAATAACTGGATGTACAACATGTTGGAAATATAATCCAAATATATCATATGATACCGCTGTTCAGTTACGCACCATTATCTCAAAGGGACAGACTCCCTCTTGTTTCTCGTGAGCCTGAAGCTTTCAGGCAGCTCAGATTTATTAGCTCTGCTTTAATATAGGTATTTTTGAGAGTGGGGCAGAGGACAGTAGAGAACTAACAGGAAATGAGGGGAGAGATGCCATGACATGGTCAGCTTTTTAAACCCCTAATCCTGATGAACTGACCCATTTGGATTGCACATCACTGCCTTTAAAATATCCGTCCCTACAGGGATGGGTTCTGTTGCCTGGCGTGCTGGCAGCCCTAAAAAGCAGCAAGATGTACCTGTAGCATTCACTTCAGTGTCCAGTACAGCAGCACACAGAGCACAAGGATGGCTCACTAACTGCTGGATTTAGCTTAACTTTTTGATTTGTCATTTCCTGTTGGCAGACAAAAGTAAAACTCCAACAGCAGAACAGAATTTGGGCTGAGAAAAAATGTGCCTTCCTGAGGACAGCATTCCTCTCTACTGCAGAAAAAATGAGACTAGTGTTTTTGTATAATAATCTTTCATATTGCACGAAACATAGGCACAGAGCTGTAGGGAAACAGCAGCTCGGTGCAGTTGGGTCTGAATGAATTATACATGAACAGGACTCAAAGCTGGTCCTCGCACACAGCACAGTGACGTGCTCAACTTGTGATTGCCCTCTTGACTAACCAAGCTCTTACTTGCAGCATAAAGTTACGCAACACTTGTCTTATCGATTCAAAGAGCTGTAGACTGAGCTGATCTTCCAAGTACAATACCAAGTGTGTCATCTCTGCGGTGGTGGTCATAGTGGAATTCCTCCCTGTGTGTGGTGTACGGGTGGGAGGGGGGTCACATGCATGGCTGGTCACATGCTTGGTTATTTAATAGAAAAGCCTCAGTGAAATTACATTAAATGAGCACAATTATGTAGGGGATGTTGCATTTTGCTGGCCTGATGTCAACGTGTATCCCAACATGTTTGTAATTTTTTTTTGTAATTACAAACCACTGGGATGGGGAAAAACCTCCACTCATAATTTCCCTTGTGTCTTAATTTATGTGCGTGGTGGTCCATCTGAACTTGATGTGACTTTGTTTTTCCAACACTGATGGATTTCTTTTAAAGTCCTCCTCTTCTCAAAAATCATGTTTCTACAGTGTGATGTTTGACTTTCACTGTGCATTAGTGGTCCAGTATCAACTTGTTACAAGTGTGAGTAGAAAACTTTGGAGCCCACCAAAGTGGGCACATCCCACTTAGAATGGACTTTAACAGTTGAAGGGAGAGACATCTTTGTGGTCCCAGCAGGAAAAACCTTTAGAAATGAACAACATTTGCATATTCAGAGATTCTGGAAGTTTTAATGTTTAAATAAACACATCAGACACACATTTTTGTGCAAGTACAATGCCAGCTGTGTTATTAACTAATTTCATATCCTCCTTTAGTAATTAAAAAAAAATCAAATTTTAAGAAAACTCCTAATATAAAGAACACAGTCACTGTAACATGCCATATTATCGCCCTCAGTTTATGTTTACAACGCTGCGCATAGAAATCGACTGTTTTTGTGACTTGATACAATATCACAAAATAAGATATCGCAATACTATACTTTTAGATATTTTCTTACACCGATAAGCTGATCAGTAACTTTCTCCATTTTCCTATTAAGCTGCCGACATAGCTGGAGTGTGCAGCGCATTGAGGCCGCTGTTTACACAGCATTATTATTCATCAGTTCCCACATTGTTATGGTTGTTGTTGTTGGTGTGGACTGCCCTTAACAAACTGTAGGTGTGTGTTTTTAAAAGACGTGTGCATTTAGCAAACAAAAACATTCTTTATAGGTACCATTGTATAATTGGTATAATGTTTGGCACTTGATCTATCTTGCTCTCTTTTCCTTTAATTTGACAGTTCTTAAATCCTTCTCAGTGAGCCCACCGACTTTACGCAAACAAAACACTATTTCTGGAATACACACTTCAGTGTGATTCAGCAGCACAAGCACCCCAAGTAATTTGATTCCATGTTGTTATAAAACATCTTCTGGTTGGAGCTATGTTTTCTGTTGGCCTTTCTTTTCTAGCTGCACAAGCGGACAGTCCACAGTGTGTACATCATTCAGCCCAAAAAGAAGGATGTTGTCAAGCTGTTGCTGAAACTTCTGGCTCCGTCCAAGGCTTACCCTGTGTCTTTAAAGGTGAGTGAAACAACACACACTGTACTCCTGGGTCTGTTTTTCATTTGTCTCCAGTTGGTAACCCTGATCTCCTCTTTTTGCAGAAAGTCCTTCTGAAAGAAATCTCAGAGCTCTCCAACTACATCGATCGGAGCCAGCTAACGCCACCACTGGGCGGCTACCTTATATATTGTCACCAGAGCTGGGTCGCCTTTATTAAGGTAATTTTATTTTTTGGAACATGTCATGCCTCTCTCTAGTCTTGAGTGCCTCCAGAGAAACCATATTTAGTAGTGGGAAAATTGAGTGTCTAGCACCAAAAGTTGTTTTTATTAATTAAAAAAAATACTGATATAAGGAAGTCAGTCAGTTAAGGGAACTTGTGATCTTAGAAACATTTTGCATCTTAACAATACAATAAAATGGTGTTTGCTTCTGGTCCATTTTCAGTTTAATTTTTGGCCCTCCATGGAGAAAAGTTTGGGTACCTACTGGTCTAGTAGCTAAGGCTAGTTTTATCCTGAAAGTAAATCACTAAATTTATGACAAACTAGGACATACTTATAAACATCATGTTGTCATAGTCAATCAATTATTTTGTAATTACAAATTTTACTGTTGTAAAACAGTACTGTCTATTATTTAGCCCTAGCTAGCTTACTTAACTTGTAGCCAACCACAGCACCAAAATGTAGGGTTAGCAAAAACTAGATATGTGCTGTTGATATGAATGCTGCTTTTCGATCAGTAACATTTTAATCTAGTGGTTCCTTCACTGTTTAGGTTCATTGACATATTGTATGGATATTTCATATTCTATTAAACTGTACACTTAAATGTGCAGTAACTTTAAATATGTTACAGATATCAACTAAACTAAAGACAAAACAAAATTCTGAAGTTCTTTTTCTTATTCATGGGTGACATTTTTATGAATGAAACCTTGTATAGCAATTTGTAGGTATTGATTGGGCTGATGAGCACATATTCTTCCTCATGTACAGGAATTCATCTGGGTTAAAAACAAGCGATTTAAGACACTTTGTGCAGTTACAAATTGTAGTTGTTGGATAAGAATCCATAAATGTTCTTCCATTAAGCCCAGTGTACATAAAGATCAAATCAGTGACATCTGCATCAGTATTCTCTATTCACTTAGTATATTTGTCAAACAGTTATAGGTTGTTTTTAGCTATTATAAGCACAGAGATTATATTAATGTTTAGGCAATATAGGCAATAAATAAATGAGGATCCCTCCACAAGTCAACCATTGTAAGCAGTTGTTTATGAAACACATTAATATATCTGAATGATACAAAGAAAAACCTATGAATCTGTCTTATGATCAGTCAGAGGGCTTAACACAAAGTACCATTGTCCTGCTCTCCTTAGCAGCTGGAGAGCGCACACACACACACACA